CACAACCAGGTTTAACAGTTGGAGGTACCCAAAAGCCAGCACAGGGTCTGAAAAGGACTCAGGAGAAACCAGGAAAGATGGGGCCTGTCCTGGTACTGGTTTAGCCTAAGAGGGAGGGATATAGGGGCTTGTCGTCACACAACGCCCCGCCCTTATCACGCTGTGGAGTGGAGTGTGATTCAAGCTCTCCACAGTGGGTGTCACACAAGTCTATGCACGAAACCACACCCGTGTGTCTGGTGCTCCCATGGACCTGGTTGACATATAAAACCACACTTGTGTTCCCTGCTCCTGTGCACAGGGTTGACCATACAAAACTCCACCTATGCGTCCTGTGCTCTGTGTGGGCTTCAGAATGCTTGGGAACATCCTGCTTAGTGTGGACGTGTCCGCCTGCAGCAACTGCAGCCCGACGAGTGGCCACAACTGGCCCTTGGACGCAAATAGTTAAGGAAGTGCGAGTGAACTTGATCATCCAAGTTCTTACGCTGGAGTTGTCAGAACACACACTTTGCTCTAGAGACTGATCTGTAAGGGCTGAGCATGTAAACAGGGCACGTCTGACTCGCAGGCTAGCCCGTCGTACATCCGGCTAATGGGAAGAGCGAAGACCACAGCTATACTTCTGACAAAAGGCTGGCCTACAGGGAGAGCAGCTTATACCTTACAATCGAAGCACGTTCCAGCTGATTTTGCACTAACTGTTAGACAAGCCTAGTTTGTAGACAGGTTCATGAGATCCAATCACGTGAAATTACAGTGGCTTTTGCAAAAGATTCTTCCCTCATGAAATCTTAACCACCAAACAAGGAAGGTACTGGAGTTGATACTGAGAACAAGTGGTTCCTGAACAGAACTCGCAGAATGACCTCCCCACCTCGTCCCCACCAGGCAGGGAGACAGCTAAAAGCAGCAGCCGGGAGTGCAGGAGGTGCGTGACAGCGCCTCCCCATACAGATGATCCCAGGGGTTCTCAATTTCACACCCACACCCCCTCCTCACAGAGCTCTGACTTTGCTCCCAGGTGGCCACACGGGAAGCCACGCAGAGGGGAGGGAGCCATGTGACAGTGTGTGGGCAGTGAGACTGGAAGCAGGGGACGGGGTGGCTCCTGGAACCAGCTGTACAGAGGCCAGCGCTCAGGGCTCTGTGCACCAGCTAGCTCTGTGCAGTCCACCCCAAGTTGCCGCATGAGGAGACGAGGCCCCAGTGTACTGGGACCCCCTCCATCTGGCGGGCGGGTACTCACAGTCAGCGGGGTATTCCACCTGGGGGGGCTGCCCAGTCGTGCCTTCGGCAGGAGGCGGGGTGGGCGTGGAGCTGTCAGCCTGGGCTTTCCGGACCAGCGCTGCCAGGGGGTGATCAGGATCTACCACCTTCAGAGGCTGCACACAGAAAGGACACGACTGTCACCACACATTGCATGACCCACACAGCAAGCTCCAGCAGCACAAAGGCCAACTCGGCTGCACAATGCAGGCGCCATCTCTCTCCAGCTCGCTCTCTGAGCGCTTTCGAAGGGAATGTGAAGGTCACAGGATGGGCTTAGGCCCCTGGTGGCGCAGAGGTGAAGTGCTGAGTTGCTGGCTGAAAGGCAGGTGGTCTGACCCCAAACAAGAGCGCTGTAGAGGAAAGACCTGGCAACTTTGGTTTCCTGGGTGGAATAGGGGTAAGTGCTGGGCACCTACCTGACAGGTGGGTGGTTTGACCCCATCAGCTGCCTCACGGGAGAAGATGATGCCACCTGCCCAGCTGGACAGCAGGGGTTTGGGGTTTAGCCTATGCCTGGGAAGGTGGGACGCTCACTGAAGTCCCTCACCAAGCAGCTAGTTGCTGGTGAGTGGTGACTTCCTGAGGAAGCCAGTCAATGAAGAGCAATGGTCACAGGAGCAGCCACCGGCGCGGGCACAGAGAGGAGCGATAGTAATGGTCACAACGCCAGTGCTATGCAATTTGACTCGTCATTCCCGAGCAGGTCCTAGTCACCAACATCTCTGACTGCCGGTTCTCGGCGGAGAGACAGTGTGGCCTGACGAGCTCTTTCCTATCACGAGGGCCGGGCTAACCACAGACAGCGGGGAACAGGCGAGCGGGCTAACTACAGGCAGGGGGGGAGGGGGGCCGCAGGGCAAGAAGGGAAGTGACTATTTTACATGAAAACTGCCGGTGGCAGAGCCATCAAGCCGCAGAGAATCTGAATACCTGTAACCCCAACCCTACTGGAGGGAGCTGTGCCAGGCAAACCGTTCTACATCCTAACCAACAGCTCCTGAAACGTGTAAGCGGACATGTGCAAACAAACACATTCCACCAAACCACATGTATACACAGCAAGCCTCGGTGCGGATGAAGGAAGACAGAGATGGCATGCTCAATCTCTACCCCAATCGTCGTCCACAGCGCACCTCCGTGGTAATAAAGGGAGATATCTAGCTAGGAGAGATGGCACCCTTAATATCTATCAACATCATATCTGCTGACATTCGGTTAGCACAGGGAAAACGGAGTTGAATAGTGAGATAAAAACCTTCATAAGCTCCTCAAGGCGACTGCACTTTTTGGAAGCAAAGAGAGACGGGTGCAGGTAATTACCGTCGTCCTCCTCGTCGTCCTCCTCCTCCTCACTGTCAGAGTCAGCCCCCGATTCTGAAAGGAAAGGACACTCAGAACGGCTGAGGCGAGGACAAGCACACAAAGCAACGTCAGTAGAGACTCAGAAGAGGACGGAGAGCAGTCTCGGAAAGTACTCCCTAAAGTATCGCCATCCACGCTGTCAGGGAGACAAGCCAGAAAGGGGAGGAAGGACCACGGCGGCCGGCCGGCCGGGCACCCCTCTCCACCGCCAACCAGCCGAGGGTCTGCAGTCATTTCCGTCACTGTTAACTCAGCCGTGTGCAAAATGTTTATCTTTGACAACAGGCACACATCGTACAGGTTCATGGAAATGTGCGCGCGCACACGCACACGTCATCAGCTGACCTGTTTTCAGACTCCGTGTTGCATAAATCTCAATGCAAATCTCACCTTCCCAAGTTAACTTGTTATTTTGAAATACCTATTGCTAACAGAAATCACCAATCAGTACAATTCCATGAATCTGTAAGGCCTTTTCATTTTCCTAAAAGATAAGGGAGCCCCGGTAGTGCAGTGTCTCCACACTGGGCTGTAAATCCAAGTGCAGCAGTTTGAAACCACTCGGGAAAGACACGGCTTTCTACTCACGTAGAGTTACCGTCTCAGAAACTCACAGGGGCAGTTTTACCCTGTCCTATAGTGTTCCTATGAGTCAGAATCGACTCTGTAGCAGCGAGTGTACATACATATACACAAAACCCACACACTCATGAATGCTCTCCAGGAAGGTGAGACTGTGTCTCCCACGTACTTTGGACACATCAGCAGAAGGAACCAGTCCCTGGAGAAGGACCTCATGCGTGTTACAGAGGGTCAGAGAGAAAGAGGACCTTCCACGGGGTGGACTGCCACAGTGGCTGCATGTACAAGCCCTGCAAGGGACCAGGGACCCTTGGGACCCTGGATGCACAAGCCCTGCAGGGACCAGGCAGTGCTTTGTTTTTGGACATGGAGTTGAGATGGGTCAGGGCTGCTTCAAGGACTCACACCAGCAGCACTGCCATGCACACAGGGCGGCTCGAGGGGTTGAGCCATGAGCAGACATTGTAACCTACTATCTGCTCTGGGAAGAAAGATGAGGCTGTTCATTTCTGGAAAGATTTACAGACTGGGGAGATCTATGGGGCAGCTCTTCCCTGTCCTACAGGGTCATGATCAGATGGAACTGCCTGGATGGTGGTCAGACACACACAAGCGCACACACTCCCGCCCCCACTCAGGCACAGGCTGGGGCCTCCCTGGGGCAGGGAAGGGCAGGGCTGGGGCTCATACTTGTCTTCTCTCCACCCTTGTTCTCGGCCAGAGCCGTGTAGCGGCCCTCCTTCATGACCTTCTGGATGAACTTGTAGTAGGGGTTGAGGTAGTGATCGAAGCGCAGGAAGTCGAACTGCGAGTTGCGCGCCTGCTTGGCTTTGAGCATGATCTCAAACTGGGCGCCCTGCTTGCACACAAAGTTGGCGGTGCGCTCAATGATGGCGTGCATCTTCGCGGTCGGGGGCTGCAGAGAAGCACACAGGTTCACATCACCAGGAAAGCAGGTCTGACCGGGTGCAGTGGCTATTTCCCCTGGAAGTCTGTGCTGACCCTCAACTGTCCACACCACCCCTCTGTACTGCCCTCCCCACCTCCTTTGTGGGGAGAGAGCATTGCCTCTGCTGGACAGACTGACAGGAGCCTACTGCTGCGTCCACACCGAGCCAGCCCATGTGATGACTGGCAGCCGTACACGCACACATACACACAGGGCACCCAGGAGAGCCGCAGCAGGGCGGCACGGCCTGGGTCCCAGGGTGCACTGTCCCTGTCAGTCTGTCGGGTGTGGCACGCGGCGTGCTAATGTGACGCTCACTAACAACGGAGAACACCGAGAATGGGAATCCCAGAACACTTCACTGCGACTCGTACAGACAAAAAGGCAAGATGTTCACACTGACCAATGGGACACCCCGTGGGTGAAAATCAGGAGAGGTGGGCACCAGAGCTGCGTCCTCTCACCGTCATTATTCAATCTGTATGCTGAGCAAATGATCAGCGAAGCTGAGTGATACAAAGAAGAGCACGGTGCCTGGAGTGGATGACAGCTCATCAGAAACCCGTGTAATGCAGTTTGCTTGCCGAAAGCTAAAAGGGCTTGGAGCACTTAATGAAAACCAAAGACCACACAGCCTTCGGCATGGGTCACAACTCAATACAAGGAAAACAAAAATCTTAAAAACTGGAAACATAGACAACAGCATTACCATGTTGTTGGGAAAATAATCAGAATTGTGAAGGATTTCCTTTGGGTAGATACACAATCAATGCTCATGAACTTAATGTATTACAAGGGGCAAATCTGCTGCAAAACTTCTTTAAAGCGCCAAGATGCGCCTGTGAGGATGCAGGTGAACCTGACTCAAGCCATGGCGTCTTCAACTACTTCACATGCAAGTGAACACTGGACACGGACTACAGGGAAGACCGAAGAAAACTCAAAGAATATCGAAAGTACCATGGACTGTACACCAAAGGACTGTTCCTTAGACTCGAGGATGGTGAGACTTCCTCTCCTCACATACTTTGGACATGTGATCAGGAGAAACCAGTCCCTGGAGAAGGACAGCACGCTGGATACAGGAGAGGACCGGTGACGAAGAGGAAGGCCCTCGACAAGATGGACTGACACAGTGGCAACAACAACGGGCTCGGACACAGCAACGGTGGTCAGGCTGGTGCAGGACTGACCAGGAGTGCTACAACTGCGATGTAATTATTATTATTTAACTCATTCTTCTTCCCAAAAAACCCTCAGAGGGCTGGCTCATTGTAAGTTCCTGATCCAAGAAGCTTAGTTTCAAATCCAAGGTCACCCTACATTGCATGTTTCCTCTGGCCTCTGCACACTGGTCCCCACTCAGCAGATCACATAGCCCTTTGCCCACCACAAGGAGGGCCCACTTCAGCCTACCTCGCTGGCATTCCATCCACACACTGCCCTTGAGACATGGGCACTCGGGTTCACTGTATGTTCTCACAAACGACGCCTTAATGTATGCATCTCGAGCAACTACAAAAAGCAAGCCCACCTGAGGGTAAACCGAGTACAATGCAACAGGAGATCCAACTGTGTAGGGCGACAACCCATGGGCTGTGGCTCACGGTGGGTCTGGACCCGCACAGACCCCGCATACTGACAGTGTCTGGAGGGCCGTGTCGTGGGAAAAGTTGATGATGTCATTTGGGCAATCACCTTATACCCAAGGGGTACGACTGACAATGTTGTACTTTTTGTTTCTATGGGGTTTTGTTTTCCTGCCTTTAGCTTGTCCCCCCGGTCCCCCCTTTGTTGACTGGTTTGTTTGCTGCTGGTGTAGTTGGTCCCAATGGGGGTTGATGCTGTCATAAGATGACTGCCAAAGTAAACCTCAGTCGTGCATGTTCCATGGACAAGCAGATGGATTCTGGGCTCCTAATTTAACGCTAGCACCAATTCAAAGACGGTTAGTTCTGATAACACGGCCCCGCTCTACTCTTGTCTTCATGAAAAGATCACTGAAGATAAGGGTGCTACAGCAAAGTGTGGTGAAGCGAGCAGACGGTGCCTGGCAGTCAATGGGATCTTCAAGGTTTGTGTTCAGACAAGCAGCCATCTGAGAGAGGAACCAACCAAGTCTACGTGGAAGACGCACACCAGCTTGTGTGATCCAACTATGAAAAGCACAAGATTCAAATATGATGAAGGGAAAAGTACCAGAGCTAAAACTGTGAACACCCACTTTGTGGAAGGCCGTGGAGGGCAGTGGCAGCCCAAAACCCATCTGCAGAGCATCTAGTCAGATTAAGCTGCTGGCAGATCCTCTCAAGCCACAGGCAAATGTCTGGAACAGCCTCACTGTCAAACAGATCACTGTAACCCTGATTAGGCTGGGTCAAGCATGATGCTTGGTCAGTTGACTTCCCTCTAGACCAGTGGTTCTCAACCTTCCTAATGCCGCGACCCTTTAATACAGTTCCTCATGTTGTGGTGACCCCCAACCATAAATTTATTTTTGTTGCTACTTCATAACTGTAATTTTGTACTTTTATGGATCGTAATGTAAACATCTGATATGCAGGATGCATTTTCATTGTTACAAATTGAACATAATTAAAGCATAGTGATTAATTGCAAAAAAATATGTAATTACATTGTGAAATATTTATTTTTAATTACAAATAAATGAAATTTTGTCTTGAAGCATGGTGTAGCATGGGTAACAGTCTTCACGCTGCATACTCGTCTGAGGGCTTATCTGCATGTGTGTGGGCAGACCCATCTGGAGGCGGACAGAGGAGCGGTGTCTCAGTTCCTAAGACCATGGGAAATATGTGTTTTCCGATGGTCTTAAGCGACCCCTGTGAAAGGGTCATTTGACCCCCAGGGGGTCTTGACCCCCCAGGTTGAGAGCTGCTGCTCTAGACCCAACCTGAATGTGTTCTAGATGCAAGGATCGCGTGTTTGTTCCCTGGCTTTTTAAATACTGCGGGTGGTCTTTTCTTTCTTACTCACTGTTTGCATTTTTACCTTTATATTGTTTTATCCTTACCACTTGTTTTTGTTCTTTATTGTTTCTGCTGCGTTTACCAGTTTGTGAAGCCCAAAGCAATACACTACACCTACAGACAATAGTTTGGGAAACTACTGAAGACTAGCACTACTATAAAGGCAAACGGTGAGCAGCAAGCCAAGGGCTTGGTTAAGCACTCCAACAGTTTCCACGTCACCAGCAGTGTCCTATTCAAGACACTTTGTAGGTAAATACTGGAAGAAACTAACAAGAGAACAAAATTGTTACACAGCTCAGTCTACTTTTGCCTTTCATTCTGAAAGTAAACAAGAGTCCCTGCTGAGAACATGACGTGCAGTAGCAATCACCACAGATGAGGGCAGCGTGGCTCTGAAGGCGGTACTGTGGAGGTCTCCCCGTAGAAGGACAGCGTTGTATGAGACAAGCAGGAACACGTAGATGACAGTACTCAGAGGAGGCCTCGTCATAGGGAGCCTGCGCCTGCTGCCGTCATCACAGCCCGCAGATCAGGGTGGAAAGGCGGAGGTGAAGCTACGTAGTGATTTACTCACTGACAAAAACCAAGGAGAATTTCACCTAGACAGGCACCCACAGCACATCTGTTGGTTACATCCGAGAGCTGGGTAGGAGGGCTCACTAGGGAGAGCCCACGCTGAGTTTGCAGCATCTGCTCCTGGGGCCGCCCTACCTAGCTCCCACCAAGTCCATGCCTATGGGAGGCCCTGGCTGCTGTCCCTCAGGGCACCAGGCTCCTCAGGGCTGACTGCAGAGCACCAGGTAGGAGACCACCTGTAAGTGTGAGCTTGCAACCCCAAGCCACCTGAAGTGAACTGAGAGCCAGGGCAGCTTGTGCAGAAGTTACTGTGATACGTGTGTGCACAGCACACGATACAAACACATGAACTACATGCAATGTGGTGTCCCCACGCCCTCACTGGAAGCACTTGTGTTTATATTAGAATCAGAGAAGGGGTGGGGATAACAGAGCTGAATGGATGACTGGACAATGGAGAGAGACCAGGGTGGGGGTAGGGGGGGGGGGCGCTCAGAGGATTGCTCGGCATTTCTTGTCAAGGACCACAGGGACAGCCGAGAAGCTGTAAGAGTGACCTGTCCAGTAACTAGCTTTTCAACATCACTGAGTAGCCACTACTGACAGTAGTCAGGGCCGACCACAAAGGATTCCAGGTGCCAGGGGCTCTGGCTGAGGCCTGCAGTGCAGTCAAGAAAACGCCACAGGAAAAGCTGAGTATGACCTCCTGCCCACACACAGACACGCAACCCCGATATTGGAAACAGTCCTTAGCAAGCATATACAAAGGGCCTTAAACGTGGTGAGGTGTGGCTGTGCTGAGTCTCGGTCAGGCGGGTAATAGGCGCCTCCCAGGGAAGGACGCGCACGACATCATTGCCAAGGGCTGGGCGCAGGGCCAGGGTGCCACAGCCGCCTTGTGACGGTTTGGTCTCAGACACAGCCTGTGCTACACTCTCGGCCTGAGGCCCCCACGCCGGGTGGGGGGCGTGCAGTAAAGCAGGTGCACCCGGCCACCACCAGGACTGAGTGGCATGGGACCCAGCTGTCGTCATGCACACCCCAGGGCCGTGTCAGGACAAAGCAGGGCACTGAACTGAAGGCAGAGAGGGAAGGAAGCGTCAGGAAGGCTGCTATCTCAGATGACCCCCAGGACCACCTCAGAAAATGCCAGAACGAAGGGCTGAGCTGAGCAGCAGCGACACCAGCCCTGCATTTCCTGCACGGCAGCCCGCTCAAGCCTTTCCTGCAGCCAGCACCGGTGGTTCACTACAAGTCCTCCTCCGAGCTCACTCAGAGGCTGTCCCCAGGCACTGCAGCTCTGTGGAACAGTTGCCCCAAGTCCCCAGGGCGCTCTCCCACAAGCAGCACTTTACAGCAGTAGCAGGACAGACAGCAGGGAGACTGACAGCTCAGGCAGTCGGAAAGGAGCCCTGGTGGCCCCTGGGTGGCCCAGGAATGACTGCAAGGTCAGCAACGTGAAACCACAGCTGCTCGGAGGGAGAAAGCGGGCTTTCTAGTCTTGTCGAGAGGGCCTGACCTGGGAACGCAGAGGCACACGTACCAGTTCCACATCGGGAGGGACGTTCAATCCTAAGGGGGCCACAAAGGGCTCTTCATTCTCCTCCAGACTCTCAGCCTCCTGCTTCTCTGTGTAGGAAGAAAACACGGTCATCAGCAGAGCAGGCGAGGCGGCCCTGACCCCACCCCCCCATCACTCTGCCACCACCGTGGAGCTGCCGCCGGAGCTCGTGCCCCATCCACTGTATGGGAGGGCCATGTCCAGGGCCGGCGAACCCACCCCCCACTTGTGAGTCTGGGCTACTATTGCCCACACTGCCTCCAGTACTGTCCTGAGGGGGGCCAAGGAGGGTGACATCAACGGGCTAGCCCCGGTCCTGCCAGGAGCTGGGCAGGTGACAACACACTCTGCTCCCTGCTTTCCCAGCCTCTAAGCGGGGGTATGCATGTGCCTAAGGGACATCACCGAGTCCCTCTGTGGGACCCAGAACTCACTCCCTCAAAACAAACAAAAACCAGCTCTCTGCCATCGGTCGAGCCCATGCCGACTCACAATGACAGGGTAGAAGTTCCCTGTGGGTTTCTGAGCCTTCAAGTCTTCACAGGAGCAGACACCTCCACCTTCCTCCTGGAGAGAGACTGGTGGGTTCAAACTGCTGACCTTAGAGTTAGCAGTCCAATATGTAAGTTTCTATGACACCAGGGCTTGACACTCACTCTCTAAACCTAACTCACTGCCATGGACTTGACATTGACTCACAGTGACCCCAGAAGGACAGGGTAGAACCACCCACTGTGGGTTTCTGAGATTGTAACTGTTTGTATTCACTAGATGACTGATTTTCAACATTCGATGTAAAACATCCAGGCAAAATTGCCACAACTTCTGCACCCATGCAAAATCACCTTCCTCATACAAGCAAGCAAGCAGAACCAGTCCCCTTCTCTATCTCTCCACTAAGGGCTCATTTGACCACCATCTGCCTGCCACAAGCTAGGCAAGGCAACGCACACCCTGATTTTCTAACTCCGACGGTGTCTACGTACATCTCAGTAACTGAGCTGATAACCAACTTAAAAGACTGTCACAAAATGTGATACAAAAAAATTCATAGGCACTAACGTCTTAAAAGACTTTAACATTTATTGAAGGCTTTTATTTTTAAAAGATAACATTAAAAAACACTAAATCTTCACTCAGATAATTCAGTTTGGCAGTTAGCCGTCCTGGGCACTACACGGAATTTCTACCACACACATACGCATGTGCATGTGCGCCTACTTGGATGGCACTTCTACCATGCAGGCTAAGCAACGAGAAATATAAGTTTCACATGAGCCCAACTCCCTTTGAAACAATTATCAACAAACAAAACGACCCCCCAATTATCAGCATGTAAGGCAAAATTCTGAAAACATGATTAAAGATTGTAAAACAAAACCAAGAACTTGGCTAATGAAAACACATAATGCAACTTAGGGGAGAAACTAAATTATACTGCAAACCCTTAAAATTTAGCCACTGTCACCAATTTGATGTTGCACGGCCCAAAAAGGACACGAGACACTGATCCGACATCTCGCCCCTCCCACTGCTGCTGCTCCGGCTCTCAGCAGCTGCCTACACCAGAGGAGACTTACTCCATGGGGTCTGAGACTGTCCATGTTTATGGGAGCAGAGCCTCATCTTTCTCCTGTGGAGCAGCTGCAGGGTTTGAACTACCAGCCTGGAGTTTAAGAGTTAACCCACTGCATCCCCAGGACCCCTGACATCGAGAATCAAAATCCCAAACCAAATCTACTGCCACTGCCTTGATTCCAACTCACAGCAATCCTGTAGGGCAGAGTTGAGCACGTCTTACTTCTTACACGTTAGGAGACTCTTTACACAGGGATATAGGTTAGCCCTTCAAGCCCCACCAGACACTACTGCAATGACCCGGGACACATAGAAGGCGTTTCACATACAGGGTGTCCTGGATCACGTGATCCCACCTCACGGTTTCAGGCTTGCACACTGGTGCTTCTCTGGGGTTTACCCAAGAGCCTATGGGGATCTGCCACCAGGTGTAAGCTCTGTGATCCCAGGTTTAGTGAGCTACTATTGTTCATATTCAAACTTCCCAGCAAAAGCATGTACTGAAAACCATCATTCCATGCAGACGTTTATTTTAAAGTTTCGTGTATCTATGCCCCTGGGTCTTCTCAAGCCAAGCTGGGCAGCTCTTGTGCTGTGGGGTCCTCCTGCTGGGTCTCTGACTCTGCTTCAACAGTGGAAGGACATGTACACGGAAGTTAATCAGGGGGTAAGGCAACACGTGACAGGCCACCAGGAGGGACCACCAGTCCCTGGAGAAGGACAGATGGACATCTTGCTTGGTAAAGGGCCAGTGAAAAGAGGAAGACCCTCAGCTAGATGGACAGACATAGTAGCTGCAACAATGGGCTCAAACACAGCAACCAGAGCGGGACCAGGCAGGGCTTCCTTGTTGTACACAGGGTCATTGCTCACTGCTCTATCCAAACCGGCTGTGTAGCACCTGAAGACAGCCAGCAGGGCCAACATGAACGCACGCCACCCACCCACTCAACGGCCCACATGAGGGTCACTGGGAGAGCCAGGCAAGCACCCCCACCTGGAAGCACAGTCTCAGAGTGAGGAGTGAGCGAGCAGGCAGTGCAGCTCAAGTGGGGTTCAATTCCCTGCCCTGTCCCACCCCCACCCCACCAGTGCATCCCTAAAGGCTGAGCTCCAGGAAAGCACAGCAGGGGCTGGCATCATGCTCTCTGGGTACCAGAGCAACACCATCACAATGTGGGTTTGCACAGGTGCCTCAAGCCTTGACCTGGCCGCCTACCCAGCTCACCTCTCTGCTTAGAAGGCTCCTCTTCCTCCGTGGGCTCTGAGGGGTCATAATAGTCACTGCTATACGCGAACCCCACTGCATTGTAGCTCCCGTCCTCGGCCAGAGCTTCACTCAACCGCTTGTATTCTTCCTCTTGAAGAAAAATGAAAATTTTATTAACAATAACGGAAATTTACTGAGAAAACGCTTACACATTTCTAACATTGTGGCTATCAGTAATGTATACAACACACTTTCTCCAACCTCTTTTTGAGGTGAAAATGCTTCTCAAAATACACACGTTACATCTATCAATATGTACTTTAGCCAGCACGTTTACCACAGACAGGAGAATACACGTCTTTTATGAAACATTTCTTCCTGCTGAGAAAACTTGGGGATTAAGGGCTGTATTGAAGAGATTGTTACGGCAAAGACAAGAACATCGATTTTAATTTATACGATACTGTTAAGGAAGAACAGTTAAAGAGTTTGGTTTTTGTTTTTTTCAAATCCCAGTCTGCCCTCAAAAGCTGGGAAAATTCTTTGTGGCTCTATATATAAACTATCCTGAGGTCCTCTCAGATACGCAAAGACTCCTGTTTTTCCAATCCACTGGGTACTGTCAAGATAACATCAGAAAGAGTGAGTATAAAAAAATGAATGGGAGTAAATTTTTAAATACTTAAAAAAAAATTTTTTTTTAAAGTTTGTGGCTTAAGTAAGTTTTTCTTGAGCAGTACCTTGCCTTGCCTCCTCCTCAAGCAAGTCCGTATGCAAGGCTAAATACCTCTCTTCATCACACAGGGCGTCTATTCTCGCCTCCTCCTCCGACAGCTGGTAATCTCGGTTCCAGGTGGTATACTCCGCATCATACTCGGAAAGGTCATGGAGGTGACCACGCCCATCGTATCTGCAATGCGAACACCCTGGTCAATGTGAAGCACCCGGAGTCTGGCTCTGTGTGGAGGTGCAATTCACAGACATACTTACCAATCAAAACAAAGGAGGGAAAATATTAAAGCCAACAGCAAAACTTCTCAGACTTAAGAGTTAACTTGCTCATCCACAGTTCTCCTACTTTAAAAACTCCAGTTAATCTTAACACAATCTACATGCCTCTCTACGATAGAATCAGAGTAACAGCTACGGGCGGACAACCCTTTATTCGTAGCATGAGCGGTATCCATTTCACTGGCATTTAGGGTTTGGCTAAACATTCAATGCCACTTGCTACAAAGAAAATCAATTCTTTTTCTGAAATGTCAAATATCATAGCTTACATTCACACAAACCCGAATACATAAATACCTATCCGAAAGAACCAAACGGTGGACATTTCCTCGCTTCTTTCTGCTAGTCTCGAACGCTCAGGAGAGATCTTCACCAAAGACACTTGCATCCATTGGAGGTAAAATCTTGGCTAGGCGCGCCCCCTAGCCATTTGGCTGAGGAAATAAGTTCTGGTTATGTGATAGAGAGACACACAGACATAGGAACAGTAACAAAGACATGCAGTTTAAGGAGGTTCACTGGACACGGAGCACAACATTAGAAGAGGCAGCAGAAACATTTTCTTTCTGTCTCCCCCCCGGGAAATGACACACAGAGCGACACCCCCAGGTTTTCCTTGCACAGAACAGAAGGCACTTCAGCCAGTGAAGGTGAAGAACACTTTGTGCTTTTGATAGAAAAGATTCAGCCGATAGGCTAATCGCCAGTGTGCAACCGTCTCGGGCAGCAAATTAGTGAGTTAGTGAACTTTCCTGAAAACACTCCGATGTGGGGTTGCAAAAATCAAACACACGACGACAAATTCAAGTTCGCCACTGGACTTTTGCCACCAGACAAAAAAAGGATCACCGAAAAGGGTCACTCACAAGGGAAAATGGGGCAGGGTGTGTGTGTTCAAATCCCAGAGGAGCCAACTGGTCCAATTTTATTTCATTTCAAAGTGAATTGCTCGTTGCCGTAAACCTCCTTAACTTAGAAACGGAGATGATTAAATTATTTAAAGATAGTACACAGGGACATGTGTAGCGTTTGCTCCCCAGCAGTTTTGGGGGGCCTGCCTGAAGTCACAGACAGGGTGATCTGGAAGGCTGTAGAAAGAGGTCAGTCAGCAGACTTCCTTCCTCTTTCTCCCAAGGAGGGAGGCTGTGGGGCTCAGACTACTGACCTGGGGGTTGACTGTGCTACCAGGGTGCTTCCTCACTGACCAGACTCAGTACTGTGAGCGGATACTTTGGGAAAGCGGGTTGCCTGTTAACATGCCATTTGCCAGGAGCCGAGGAGGGCATGCAGGGCACCACCGGAGGCAGATCTGAGCCCATCTGGTGGCCCTACTGTCACAAGTCCTCCTTTCTAGACCTGAACGCCAAGAGGAAAGGTCGGGCACGTGGCATCGGCCTGTTGGGTCACTAATGGGCTCCACTCTGGCTAGCCGGGACATCGTCCCTCCAGTCCAGTCCAGGGTTTGCAGAATCCAGCCTTAAAAGGCCACAAACGGTGGGCTTCGTTCCCGTGGAGACTAGTCCGTACTTTTAATGGTGGGCTTAGCTTTCTTTCAAGTTCGGCCCCAGAAGGCGTGCTGCTAAATCGGCTTAAAAAAACAACAAAACAAAACCCCCAAACGCCCCCCTCCCGGTGAGGAGGGAGGGAAGAGCCGGCGAAAGAGGCGTGAGGCCGGGAGAGGGGAGCAAACAGCCTACATCACGCGACTGCACCCTGTCCAAGTCAGACCTCCTCAGACGGGCCGTCCCCGGGCGGGCGAGGCCGGGGAGCCGGTTTGATCTGGAAAGGCGGCTCGCTCCGCCCTGCGGTTCCAAGAGACCGCGAAACCAGCCCCAGAACAGCGGCGCCGTTGGGGGTCATCGGCCACTCCCGCCGGGCGGGGCGGGGGATCAAACGCCAAGTGTCACTCGCGCCGGGAGAGGGGGCCAGGCAAGAAGGGTTCCACCGCCGGTCCTTCCGGCGGCGGG